GCAACAGTGGGGACAGCAGGCGGCAAATGATTAATGCTGCACTCAGCTTGACTATTCACACACACAGAGAGAGAGAGAGAGAGAGAGAGAGAGAGAGAGAGAGAGAGAGAGAGAGAGAGAGAGAGAGAGAGAGAGAAAGGCAGGGGGTGGGGGTGGCAACAGCGGAGACAGCTGGCGGCAAATGATTAATCCTGCACTCAGCTTGACTATTCAGAGTCCGTTATTGGAGGTCACCTGTTGGGATGGCCTGCAGTCGCTCTTCCGTCTGTAAGGACACATACTAGCAGCCACTGTAATGGGAAGATGTGGACTATGCTTGCCTACAACCGTTTTGATCTCAGGCATATTGTATGCCTGGCTGGGTTAACGGCTGGGTTGCAATAGCTGCATTTGGCTGTGTGGAGGGCTGATGCTGCCTATGCCCAAAATTGGCAGTCTTCGTGTGTGTGTGGCTGTGTGTGTGTGTGTGTGTGTGTGTGTGTGTGTGTGTTGTGTCTATGTGTTGTTGGTTTTGTTTTCCTTCATTATTTTCATGTCTGTGCGGCCGACTTTCTGATTGTTCTGTTTTCTTCGTGGGCCCATGTGGCTGCCCTGCTGACGCTTCACCAGTCGTGTCCCGAACGAGCCACGGACGGTGCTCTTACCCTGGTTTGTGATGAACAGTAAGCACTGTGGGCACCACTCCCATTTCATGGCGTCCCCCTTTGGGGCACCAGCCCGGCTGGCATTAGGGCATGGAAGGGAACACTGTGTCAACGTAACCCCTAAACCATCGAGTATTGTGCCTGCCAGCTTGGCCAGCCAACAAAGACCCGTGCTTTAGGTGTGACGACTTAACCCCTAAACCAGCAAGCATTGTGGCTGCCAGCTTGTCCAGCCACAAACAGCTGGGCCTCATCTCTAAACCGGCCAACAGCTGGGCTTAACCCCTAAACTGTGACAGTTTCCACCAACGAACCCCTAAACTGTGAGCTTAAACCAACAAATACTTGGGCATAACCCCTAAACTACGACAGCTAAACTGTGGCCCCTAAACCATCTAGTACTGTGGCTGCTGACTTGCCCAGCCAACACGCAGCAGGCCCTTGACCCCCAAAGGGCCTAAACTAACAAAGGGCCTGTCAGTGAGCCAACAAATACTTGGGCATAACCCCTAAACTATGACAGCTTACTGTGTGGCTGTCGGCTCGGCCAGCAGAACAAACAGATCCACTGAAAAATGGGCTCCCTCGTAGTAACTGGCATGCCGGTTCCAAAACCCTAAATGTTAAAACCTACACATTAAACCCTAAACCCTAAACCGTAAACCGTACTTCACCTCGTGGTTTAAATAGGAACCAAGCTTTGCCAGTGTTCTAATTCTATTCGGTCCTAACCACAGGCAGTAGCAGCTGTATCAAACGTGTTTATTAATTCTATTCGGTCCTAATGACCGGCAGTAGCAGCTGTATGAAACGTGTTTAATGGAGAAGAGTGCTACTTGAGAAGATGGTAGACCGACCAGCATCATATTCTCAAGCTGTGATGAAGGGTCTCACTGAGAGGTAACACAGAAAACAGAAATGAATAATCACCCATCCAATGTAAGACCCAAACCCCACTGCTTGGTGGACGAGCTCTGGCAGTCTGCCAAGGAAAAAGGCACGGCAAAGAAAACTTTGAACAGAGAAGTTTCGTTTGGGGATTGCACTCGCCGAGATCTCCCCGGATCTGCAAAGAACGTGGCAGGACTCACCGAGATCTCCCTGACTTTGAACAGAAGTTTCGTTTGGGGGCAGCACTCGCCGGCAGGACTCGCCGAGGTCTCCCCAAATCCGCAAAGGAAGTGGCAGGGTAGGGACGGCGCCGAGATCTCCCCGGATCCGCAAAGAACGTTGCAGGACTCACCGAGATCTCCCCGACTTTGAACAGAGAAGTTTCGTTTGGGGACGGCACTCGCCGAGATCTCCCCGAATCCTCGTTTGGGGACGGCACTCGCCGAGATCTCCCCGAATCCACAAAGAAAGTGGCAGGACTCGCCGAGGTCTCCCCAAATTCGCAAAGAAAGTGGCAGGGTAGGGACGGGAGTGATAGTGTTAGGGGGTGCTTGTCACTGGCTGCGGTGTTAGTGGCAGGGTAGGAATGGGGGTAACGTGTTAGGGGGTGCTTGTCACTGACTGCGGTGTTGGTGGCAGGGTAGGAACGGGGGTGACGTGTTAGGGGGTGCTTGTCACTGGTGACGTGTTAGGGGGTGCTTGTCACTGCTGTCTACAGTCTTCCCCCGAACAAAACACACGTGCGTTGTATATGAGATAACGCACGGGGCGTGCGTTGTATTCGTATACAATACACGTGCGTAATTCTTATTTTTGGGGCGACCGTTTGAGTCACCGTATGAACTGCTCGTTTGTACAATCAATATGTCAAATACAACGAGACGGACACGACTTATTCAACGCCGTTGAAGATACTCGTAGTGAAGAACTCGCTGCGAAGACTCAAGCTCGTCGTGAAAGGGGATCACTGGGAATAGCCAGCCCTTGGTTGAACCCCGACCGTGTCTCTGATACACAGAACTTCGGAAAAGCCCCCACCCCAAAAAATCCAATATATGCTGATACCTTTGCATGAATTGAGAAATGGTCGACAT